TATGTCCCCAGAGCTTGTCTAGAGAAAATGCTTTAGTTTAGGAAAGGGTGCTGAAATGAATCTTTCTTACTTATCCCTTCTCTAATTTAAGGATAGTAATTTTGAAGGAAGTTTCCAAGGAGCTTCCTGCTGCCTTGCTGCTGTCACATTGGACACGTGGCCTGGGAGCTGCAACTGGTCTCACCTGTGCTGCTTTCCAGTGGCATCACCCAGTAACTCCCACATCAGCAGTACAACTTTTGGTAGGGAATAGAGAGGAAGTTAGTATCTGCACTTTGTGGACCTAGAGATGGAAAATGTTTGCCACCCTGAGGCTTGTTTTTCCTTTGTTAGATGTGGTCAGAGCCTACATCCAGCTGCCAGGCTCTCCACAGACTCGCAGCAAACAAGAATCCCTGTCTATTTCTTTTCTCCCAGAAAAATAACTTAAAGCAGGTAATGAATCTTCTGTTAGTCATAATTTGACACAGTTACTGCTGGAACATAAAGGTTGTATAGACTGCTCATGAAACCACCTGTAGCTCAAAGTTAAATCCCAGCAAAGTCAGCTGAAGGTCCCTTGGGGTTTTGGGAAGTCAGCTGATATCTGTGCTGTGTAATGAGATGGGCACACCTGCTGCTGGGCTCTCTGTCACGGAAACAATGCTGGAGGACCTGAATTTGCTGAGTGACCTGGAGCTGAGGTGTGATCATGGTGGACTCAGTGAAGATATCAGCGTAGATCTTGGGGGATTTTGTTGGTTTTTTGTTGTTGCTGGTTGGCTGGTTTGGGGTTGTTTGTTTGTTTTTTTTATGGGCTGAGGCTGCTCCCAAGAAAACAAAATTGTCAGATACCAACTAGGCCACATTGGCCAGCAGAGCCAGCTGGTGTTTTTCAGGGCAAAGGCTGACATTGTGCTGAGAACCTGGAGCAGGGCACAGACCCTACTGAAGAGCTTGTGGATGCAGTTCTCAGCTGTCACCGGGGAGGAGACGGGAAATCAGCATCTGCACGTTCTCCTTGGTCTTCCTCACAACCTCTAAGTGACCACAGCACCTCATTACATTTTCTCCCATAACTAAGCTATTGTATCATATGAAATGGCCTGCTTCTGTTTCTCAGAATAGATCCCGTTACCTCATAACCACTATACCTCATTTCCTTGTTCAAAAGAAATGAAAGCAGCAGAGTAATATTTTAATTATTCTTCTTTTTCTCAGTTGCTTTGGCTCCTTGGATTCTCTCCCACCTCGGGACAGAGCCCTGTACCTCTTTTACTGAATTCAGGGCTACTGTCTGCTTGTTGGGATCACGGTGAAGGAGAGGACAAAGCCCCTTGCTCACTGGAAGAGGGATGTATTAAGCACTGCAACACCAGTCCTGAGCTGTTAGCAAGGGATTTTGAAACCTGCTCAAGTGTGAGTATCCGAATGTCCCCCCTATGAGCTTTTGGCACCAAGACATGGCTTTACATGTGCTGTAAATGCTTCTAGCAAGGAGAGCAGTCACTGAGGAAATGAAAAGAGTCACCCTCATCTGGGAAACCAAACTGTTAAAAAAGCATGTAATAAAGAAACGACCCGAAGACGTCAGCACCAACTGCAAAGGCTGAGTGAGTTCAAATGTCTTCCATGCCTCTCCAAGGCTTCAGTAGATGAAGATCCTCTCCCTTTGGAGGCAGCTCTTACAAGCATCCATGCTAATGTTCAGTCAAAAACCCATGTCCTTTTTTTTTTTTGTTGGAACTCCTTCAGCTGTGGCTCTCTGGGAAGGTTTTTATTCTGTGAGATTTAAGAGCACTCTGCTGCTGGAAATTGTCCCTGTTTGCACAGGCTTTCCACACACTGTCCATCCCTCCCTGCCCATCCGCTCTTCAATGCACAGAGTTGGATCCCTTTGCTGTCCAGCAGTTACTGCAACTTCTTCCAGAGCCTCTCCAAAGTTAAAAATAGACTTGGAAGTGGGTTCCAGGACTGTCTGTAGCTGTCTGGTGCTGTATGTGAGCTCTCATGGGGGAACTTATGGGAACGCGTGGGCTTTCCCTACTGGGAGCTCATGTCCATCTGAGGAGCCTCAGTTTCAGAATTGTTTTCTTTCTAATATGATATTTTCTACCTAAAGAGCTTGATTTGAAGTCTTTGTTTCTAGACTTTTCTTCTGATGCAATTCCCTGTCCTCATGGTTTTGAATACTGTTTTTTGAATGCGAATGAGTCTCAACTTCCTCAGTTCTTGGGTGTAATTTATGCAGGCCTGTGGGCTTTCAGGAGTTGCTTTTTGGCATTTCCACCAGTCATTAGCGTAATAGGAAACATTTGTTAATCGCTTTCAGACAGACTCTGTCCAAAACATGATGAGAGCCTCTCCTACACAGAGGTTCACACTTAAGTTGGTTTTGTTTTATCTTCTGTCAAGTGTTGGATCTGGATCATTGTTCAAGTCCTGCTTTCTTTGGGATATTTCAGGCAAACCATCCCGTTGTCCCTAAATCTGCTGATACAACTTGTAGCTGCTGGCTGATTCTCTGCTGTCAACATAAACTTTAGTACAGTTATGTGTATTGTTACTAAAAGCTCCCATGTCTCCTCTGGGAGTGAAGTGGGGATGGAGAGTGTCGTTCTGAGCAAATCCTTTTCTTCAGTCTGTATCATGTTTTTCATTGGTTTGGCAGAGAGAGACAATTCTCTGATAAAGCCTCTGGAAGGTGTTTCCCTTTGAAAGTACTCTTTTCTGTTCAAATGACATAATAAGGCTGCTGGAAACAGAGAATGCATCTTGCAGACGCTGAAGAGGGGGATAGGGAGGCAGATGGAAAAATCTGATACCCTTTTTGTCCTTCTTATGCCCTCCTTTCCTACCTAGCTGTCCTTGTCCCATATTTTAGGAGGGCTTAACCTTGTCTAAATCAATGCCAACTGCTCTGTGACTCTGTCATCTTGGTGATACCTGAAGCTGGTGACAGGGAAAACGGAGTGTGACAGCAGCACCAGCACAGTGCAGTGTGTGGAAGGGAGAGGTCCCTGAAAGAATGTTGTGCACCAAACACAGTCCTTTGATGGTAAAATATCTGTGATCATTGGCTTGCCATGACGTGGTATCAGCAGGCTCTTGACTGGAGCATTAAAGAGCAAAGATGCAGCTGAAATGGCTTTAGCTGATTTCATTGTCTGTCCCTCTCACCCACCTATTAAAAAAAACATCTCTGTGAAAATAGGAAGCAGTGGGTGAGAAATAAGAGCCCTTCTGATGTTTAAGGGAGACTGCTACTGTGCCTTCAATCCCACTGGGATAAGATGTTGGCATTAAACACAGTGTCAGGGAAAAACCTGGGAATGGATCATCTCCAGGCAAAGCCACTGTGTGACACTCTCTTGTAATGGCCATGGGAGTGGATGGGGACCTGTCCTTGGGCTGGCTGGGGAATGCTGCTCTGGGGGGCTGAGAGAGGGAAGGCATAACCCAGCTTGAACTGTTGGAGTTGGATTTATGTCGCTTTGTGTCTTTTGTGTCAGAAACCTAGAAGTGCAAGGAAGAGCCAGTTGGGGTTGTTGAAACCTCTTTTGCTGCATATCGCTGCTGCAGCAAAGGACTGTGGTGAACATCTTCAAAAAGCAGCGGGGTGTCTGGTGGTGCAGGCATGGCTTTGACAGCACGTTTGATTTATTGGTGTGGTTGGAGGCAGAGCTGAGCCCTCGTTTTGGAGAAACAAGTGTACATACATTATTCAAGTGTGCTCTTCTCAGATCCCAGTTTTGATGTTCAAGATCAAAGCCTGTGTGTTGGGATCGCTTCCTTCAGCCACAAATCTCCAGTTTGTTCTTGTATCAAACATTTTAGTTTTTTAGCACAAATAAACACTTCTGTAAAATGCCAGAACAAACTGTTTATAATCACTTGTGTGCACCTGTAAATCTTCAGGAAAATCTCATTGTCACCACTCAGAAATCTGCAGTCAATGAGGAATGGAAATGTCCCTGTCTCTCTTCATTAGGATTTTGTAATGAGCTCTTATAAGTGCTGGTCCTTGCAGCATAACCTGGATTCTGGATGATTTCTTGAAAGGCAAGAGAAATTCTACTAAGATGAGTGGCACTGTGTCTGCCCCTGGCTTTAGTCATGAGATACCCAGCCAGGTTCTATCCTGCTGCAGTGCTCAGCACTGACCTGGAGAGATGATGAAAAAGCCCTTCCCTCTGTGAGGCTTCTTCTGGTTAGAAGAGGACTGTGGGATTGGAGATAGTATTTGCAAAGGCATTGAGGGGCAGCAGAAGCTGTCAGAAGAGCCTACTTGTGCCCCAAGGCACTGTGTGTTCCCCACATTACAGCAGTCCCCTGGTTCAGCCTGGCTGGTGGATCAGTGGGGGTGAGGGCGGCCCACCGAGCTCTGCTTGGGCTGGTAATGCTGGGGCTGTTTGGGCTGCAGCACTCACTGTGTCCTCCTCTTCTGACATAGATTGGTTTTTATTACAGTGGGATGGTGTCTGTGACCATGTTCTGTGACTCAGGATCCATGCCCTGTGAAGCAGCCAAGGAAAAGGTCGGATGCAAAACGGACAGTGGTAAGGAATTTGTCCTGTGTGAAATGAAGTGACTCCCCGGCACTGAGAGCTGCACTTGGCATTGGTTCCTCATCCTTCTGCTGAGGGCAGAAGTCATCAGCTCTACCTCTGCCCTCTGCCAGAGGTTTTGTCGTTCCCTTTGCACTGCTTGTGGTCTAGGACACCTCAGCGGAAAAGCAGCTGCCTCTGTCTGAGTGGGCTGCTGGAAAGAGTGGCTGGTGGTGGGTATGAGCTATCACTCAGCCCCGGACTGGCAGCGCAGCCCTCGTACCTCCAGCCCGTGGCTGCGGGAGCGCGTTCGGCTCCCGAGCCCCGCGGGCTGGTCCTGCTGCCTGGCGGGGGAGGAGCAGGTTCGTGTCCCGAGCCTGCAGCCGAGGGCGGAAGCTCTTTGGGGTTTGCTGTCGGTGCTTGAGGCTTTCAGAGAGTCGCAGCATCTGAGCCGGGTGTTCACCGGATGCAGGGATGCAGGCGTGCAAAGGCAGAGCTGGGTGCTCCCCCAGGGCTCAGGCTGGGACAACCCCGGCAGTTTTTGGCTGCCGTATGGAGGACCACACCAAGCGTGTCCAGCCCATCCCGCTCCCGGCCATGCAGCAGAACTTGAACTACGGGTACCCCCAGATTTTTTGGGTGGATGGCTGTGCTGAAGCAAGTACTTCCTGCCCCTCAGCACCCCCTGTTGCTCCTTTCCCACCACCAGTACCGGACCGGAGGAAAAAGCCAGGGAAAAACAAGGAAAGGAGGGGCTTCGACTTCCTGGTGATCTACTTGCTGCTCCTGCTGGCCTTCGCTGGAATGGGGCTGAGCATGTTTCGAATTTTTCACCTGGAGAAGGAACTGGCTGAACTCAGAGAGGTGAGTTTTGCCTGGCTGGTCACACATCCCTGGGGAAAGAGGGAAAAGGAAAAACTTGAAATTGTGTCTGAAATGCTCAGGTGGCACAAAGCTCCCCAAGGGACAGGATGGTGCTACTTCAGTGTCTGCTGTGACAGAGTAAGTGAAGTTACTTATTACTGTGAGGGACTGCTTGGTTGGTGACTGATGTATCTGGATGTCTTCATGTTCCTGAGTGCTATGAGGTCTCTCCCTGTATATTTCTTAGCACTTGACAGCTCCCAGTGAGCACCCAGATTTTGCCACTGTTAAAGACAGTCTTTGGCTGCTTATGCTCTCATTCTAAGACAGTGTCATTCTTCTCTTTTGACAGTCTTCCAGTCCTGAACACATCCCTCCAGCTCTGGAGAAACTCATAGGTGAGTGGATGTACTTGGAGGAGGAACTCCTGTGTTAGCAGGTGCGAGTGTTCCTGTCAAACTCTTTCCTCATCAGGGGTCACAGCTTGATGCTCTGAGAGTGCTGATTTCTCTTGCTTGGCTGGACAAAGAGCTTTATCTCAGGGCTGTGGGGATTTGGTCCTGCAACCTCCCTGCTGGACTGCTCAGAGGTGTCAGCCACAGATTCCTGGGACAGTGTGACAGATTGTGGGGCCTCCCATTCCCAGTGTGACAATGGTACTAGGAGTACTCTGCTGTGAAAGGGAGAATCTGGCTGCCCTGACACAGAGCAACAACATGAGTGAAGGAGGAGAAAGGAAATGGGCACTGGACATGTTACTTCTTTCTCTCCTTACTCTTAGAAGATTCTGGGAGGAAGTAGAGGGGTCTGTTTTCTTTGGAGTGAGGAATTAACTCCCACCCTTGAAAGCACACCTTATTTTTTTCCTAAATTCTTTTGGTACAAAGCTAGCTGAGAAATGTTTGATTATATGTAGAGAGTTTTTCTCTTAGAAATGTAATTTCAGTGAAATTGAAACTTTCCACAAGAACCCGACAATCTTTCTAGATTTCACTTAGGAAAAAAAGGAGTTTCAATTTCAATGGAACAATTTAAAAATCATATTTTGAACTTCCAAACTATTATTTTTTCATTTGCATTCCATGCTAATGTTGTCAGTGAGAATATCCTTCTTAATGATGGCCAAGTCTTAAAGTGCTTTTCAGCTCTCTTGACAATTTTTGCTAGATTTGAAAGGTTTTATTTTATTTTCTCCCTTTGAGGATTTTGGTTAGTAGAAAAGATAATTTCTTTCAAAATTTGTTCTGATACTGAATGCAAACACATTTGGAAATAGCAAAATTCTCTGGAAAGGGCAGTCCTGATTCCCATCAACTCCCATATCAATAAATTTTCCACTTTAGGGAAAGAGGAACTGTCATTTTAACTGGATGCTCAATGCTCTGATCAAAAGCTTCTTTAGCAGAAGCCAAACAAAAGTAGTAACCCTGAATTTCTTGAGGGGATGGATAAATAAATAGAAACAGAGAAATAATGTAAAGAAGAAAAGGGAGAGGATAGAAAAATTTAATTGGCTTGAGGAGAGAATAGTCTGCTTCTAAAATTAGAGGACACGAAGTAGATGCTGATAAGAAGGGAAGGATGAAGTGGGTGGGATCCACATACTGAGTTGGTGTAACTGGCCCACCTGTCCAAGGGAAGCCAAGGCTCCCAGGAAAGGCAGAGTTTTCCCAGCTGTGCTCTGCCTCCCTGAGGACAGGGTCTGCCTGGCCAGAGGGGTGGTTTGCAGGGTTTCAAGTGACAGATTTGTGGCTGGCTCCCTCCTGCTCTCTGGGCACATGGCTAATGTCTTCTCTATTTCTGTGCAGGGCAGAAGGAGTCAATGAAAAAAGAAGAAAGAAAGGCAGCACACTTAACAGGTATGTGCTGAGGGACCAGCAGGATTCGGGAGCAGGAGACAGAGCAGATGTGATTGGAGTGAGAGGGTGTCATGGTTGTAGTTGTGAGAAGCCCACCTCACACAGGTCTTCCTATTTTCCTAGGAAAAGATGTGCTCTGATGGCAGAAAGTTGCTCCACAGATAAAACCTCCCCCTCATTCAGACTTCTCAGCGAGGCCTGTTTTTGGCTTGCCTCTGGGGTGTGTGGGGCAGAAGCTGTCACAAGGGGCTGGTGTTGATGAGGTGCCAGGTCAGGGTGGGTTGCAGTCAAGGGCTTGGACAAGGGTAGACTTGTGACGTGGGGTGTGACTTGAGAGGAAAAAACCCACACAACTGTTGTACTTTACCACCCCTTTTTTTTCCTTCTTGATTGGGCTTCCAGGGAGCCCATCCCAGCAGGGCCTCCCTCTAGAGTGGGAGCCCATCTCTGGCCATGCCTACACCAGTGACATTCAGTACCGTGACCGGGGGCTTGTCATCAATGAGACGGGGCTGTACTTCGTGTACTCCAACGTGCTGTTCCGGGGCAATGTCTGCGACAACCAGGTGCTCACACACATTGTCTACAAGAGAAACCCGAGCTCCCCGGGCAGCTACGTGCTGATGGAGGACAAAGGCATCAACTACTGCACGGGTCACAGGACGTGGGCCCGGAAAAGCAACCTGGGGGCTCTATTCAGTCTCAGGAAGATGGACAGTGTGCACGTCAACGTCTCCAAAATCGCTCTGGTTAATTTTGAGGAATCCAAGACTTTCTTCGGCTTGTTTAAGCTTTGAAATGGAGTGTGGCCAGCAGCGCCCCCTCACACACACCCTAGGATGTGAGGGCTGCCTGAGTGCAGTGGCCAAACCAGGGTCACACACCACAAAACTCACCATGAAACCATGTTTTGGCCTTCAGTGTGAAAGAGTTCAAGCCACTGGCAAAGGCTTGAAAGCAGACACCTGGGAAGCACCAGAGCTGTACTGTGTCAACCTGAAGAGAACTGGACATGTTCTCCTTACAAAGAAACCCCCACTAAACTCAAAATGTGATGTGCTGAAGACCCCATTGAAACTCACTACTCGCTACCTGAGAAGAGGCTGGGGCCTGTGCCTCGCATGGTGTCATGGTCCTGGTGAGCTTGGGCCAGCAGGGACAGCTGGTGGGCATTATGGAGGTCCCTTGAGCCAGGACTGCAAGTGCCTGGGTTGTGCCACACTGCAGGGAGTGGTGTGGGAATGAGTAGTGCCAACAACTGCTCACCCCGGGCCATGGCTGCCTGCCCTGCCTGGGCATGGGGCTCTGTGCTTGCTGTCCAACAGGCACCTGCCTGCAAGTTGGGCTGTTACAGCTGGTATGTTCATTTTGTGTTTAGTTATTGAACTGTTCCCATCCCAGAAAATGCTCCTCAACCCCTTTATTTAACTCATCCTGACTGTCTTGCAAGGAACATGCTAGAAGCAATGGTGGCATGAGGAGAGTCCTGACCCTGGAGTGGAACCATGACCACACTGTGAGGGTGGGGCTGGTGAGGAGGCCATGTGCTGACAGGATCTGAACAGCAGGGCAGTGAGGCTTAAGGTGAAAGCAGCATTTCCAACCCCCCTCCTGCCCTTTCAATATGTGAGGATCCTCTGTGGAGATCTGGTCTGCCACCCCTTTCATGATGCATGTGGTGACATGCTGGCATCTATCCATGGCATGGCTTCAACTGGCCCCCTTGTCATGAGATGTTGTCTCCTGAGCAAAACACAGATGGTAAATAAAATATATTTTTCTAGTAAGTGACACTGTCCTCTCCTCATTTGGTGCAATGGACTTCTGCAATGGCCAAAGCACTGAAGGCCTCTGTGATCAGGGTCCAGCACCTTGTTCCTTTTCCAGTAGCATGGCAGAAATCTGGGAGCCTTATCCCACTTCACTGCCTGCTTGGCACTGCACAGGATCCCTTCCATGGAGCTTTGGGGCTCCAGCATGCAAACATCAGTATTTGGGGTTTGGGGAGGTGTGATGTGGGCAGCACAGACCAGACAGCCCAAGCCCACTTGGACCATCAGGCAGGGCCTGATTTCAAAACACAGGCTTGAGCCTGAGTGGAGCCAGAGACTTTGCTGAGCAGAAGCACTGCTGTCTCCATAGACACTGTGGTCCTCTGTGTGACTTCTCCCAGGGCAGTCTGAAGGACAAGGAAAGGAAGTGGTGTAAAAAGAAAAAGCCTATTTGCTCACTCTGGTGTCTGGTCAGTGCAGTTCTATCCCCAGAGTTGTCTGTCGCGCTACCACCAGGCAGGGCCCAAAGGCTGCAGCTGTGTTGCATCATCACTTTTGCCTGTGGTTGTGCCTTCTTGCACCTCTGATGTCGGTCTGCTCTTCAGCAGTCTGCAGCATTTATTTACTTTTCCTCCGTGCTGCTCTCAGCTTGGTGGTGTGTGGCCTGTGGTTTGCTGTTTCTTGCTTCAGGTAAGCCTATTTCTTGGAAATTTGTCAGTGATCTGGCTACTGGTGTGTCCAGTATGAAGGGAACACTGCACCTCTGCTCACACACCCGGTGCTGCACTCAGATGGTTCCACTGCATTTCTCAGGATGGAACATACATCAAACAGATGAAGTTCAGGGACCTTTTGTCTTGACTGACTCTTTTTTACTACCCCACCCCGATAATATCAGAGGGGCAAAACACATAGTGCAGATATGGAGATGCTGGATCCAGACCCTGCCGTCCTCTTCCCATTGCTGTTTGAGCTGTGTTGCTCTCCTAGTGGTGAGACATCCAAATAGGGGGTGGGAATCTGTATGTACTCCTGCCTGCAAGCTTTTCAGCTGTTTCTGTAGCAAAACTAGCCGAGTGCATCACATGCTTCCAACAGCTTGGAGAAAGGCAGAGTATTCTGTGCACAGAGGAAGTCTTACTGAGGTTATGCTCTCTGCTAGTGTGGTGTTGGAAGGGTTGGAAAGCTCCTAAAGGCTTCTCTCAGTCAGTACCTGGTAATTCATCCAGACTGTGACTGTAGCTGCCTCTGGGGCAGGATGCAGCGGTTGCTATTGCTGCACGTCATGAGAGGACAGGCATCTTTGTCTTTTTATGTGAAATGTTAAAGGCAATGGAGACCTGCACGTTTCAGAAACAGTGGCAGAGTGGAGTGGACAGCCTTGTTACATGTGAGTAGTGCTGGGGTCTCCTGAGGTGGACAAAGCTGGTTTATCTCTGCAGGATAAAGCTCAGTGCTGCTAGGTTTGCTCCCGAATCAGAGAGCAGCTGTGACTGTGCGAAGTCAGCAGCACAGATGCCAGTAAGACATGTGTTTCTGCTTTGTGATCCCTTCCTCAAATATCTCTCTAAACTGCTCACAGCAAATCCACTGCTTAGCTTGTGGGATCTGGCTAAAGATTCCAAGTAAGATCGTGACAGGATTATGCAATTTCAAACAGCACAGACTCAGTTCCTAGGCTGCTTTTGCCACAACGGCTTTATTAAAGTCATCTGTTTATCTAGCTAATGAGCTGTTCATTTAGTGAAATGAGTGCCTATTGTTACCATTAAATACTTAATGAATATTTAATGCTGACATTAGGCTCTGTCAAGCTGAGAGAATGGGGGTTATTCAGCCTGGAGAACGGAAGGCTCCAGGGGGACCTTAGAGCCCATTCCAGTGTCTAAAGGGGCTCCCAGAGAGCTGAAGAGGGACTTGTGACAAGGGCATGGCATGAAAGAACAAGAGGGAATGACTTTACACTGATAGGGGGCAGGGTTAGATTGGATATTAGGAAGAAATTCTTTACTATGAGGTTGGTGAGGCACTGGCACACATTGCCCAGAGAAGCTGTGGCTGTCCCATCCCTGGAAGTGTTCAAGGCCAGGTTGGATGGGGCTTGGAGCAACCTGGGATAGTGCAAGGTCTCCACAAACAGCTCTCGTGGGCAGCTGGACCCTTCCCAGGTGATGGCTGTGTGTTTGGATGTGCAGCTGGCCAACTCAGGGCTCTGCACAGCAACCATTTGTGCTGCTATGCTGAGTGCAGTGAGGTGCTTGATAAAGATATGGCTCCTTTTGTGGTTGATGCATATCAGATACTGCACCCTATTTGCCTGCCTTGGTGGAGGAAAAGGGAGAGCAGGATGCCAGTGTCTTGAAAACCTTGTGCAGGCTCAGTGCATGCAGTAAACAAGATGAGAGAAGGGGCTGCATTATAGAAAGGACTGTATGGGTTGGGTCATTGCTGCTTCTACAGCAGAAGTGCAGTGGAAGCAAACAAAATCCTGGTCAGAGAGGAGAAATATTCCCTGGACAGCTATGACCAGCATCCTTCATCCATGCATCCTGACTCTTTACCAGTCTGTGGTTACTCACGATGGGGAGGAAGGTGACTGGTGCACAGTGAAGGTAAAGCAAAAGGAACAGTTGCTGATCTCCAGCTCTTGGCTCAGAAACCTCAGAGCTTAGATGGTTAGCTGGAACTGTCACTGGTGAGAGGTGTTATGTATAACTGTTTCTGTAGCCCTCCCAGGGAGAAGAATATGAGTAAGAATGGAAGAATTGATATATCTGAAGACACTCAAATTCTGTGAGTTCAGGCAGTAATGTTCTGTTTGATCTGACAAATTCTAGTGGTTTTTTGCAGGTTGATTATTGTTTTCCCTTTTTTTTTTGCCTCCTTCATTTACCTGAAGCCAGACTTGGACTCTCTAAGTTTCTGTTACAATGTTTTGTGGAGTCACCTCTTCCAGCCCAAGGAGCTGTACAGACTCTGGCAAATTTTTACCAGGTTGTGAAGAAGCATTGTCTAGTGGTTAGAGAGAGGAGAAAAAGGAAGAGATATAGACTTAGATATTGTTATTATTCTCCTAGTGGTCTGGCATGGCTATATTACATCATGATTACAAAAGTGTAATTTTAGGCACCTAAGTGAGGTTCAACGCAAAAGAGAGCATGAGATGAGTAAAGAGAGAAGAAATTTTGCTGCAAGGTGAGGCGAGTTGCATGTGAATTTCTTGTTGATTTTAATTATTAAAAAAAAAAAAAGAAGATGAAAAGCTTGACAACTTGTTGCTGATTCATCTCTTGGTGTAATGCAGAGAGTCAAATGTTCCATTCCTTGCACATAACCTGTTACAGGAGATGTGGGACTTGAGTCTGGGGTGGAGGAGTTGGCTGGCAGTGACAGCAGTGGTGTCTCCTGCCAGGCAGAGCTGTGAAGACATGCTGAGCTCCCCAGCCCCTGCCTGTGGTGAGACCAGCAGTGCTGCTTTAGGATCATTCTGGTGGGTGCTGGCCTGGCTGGTTACCCCTGCCAAGACATCAGCAGGCACATGAACAGGCACACAGGTCTCTGTTGTGAAGACTCACTTGTTTTGAAAATCAGCTACTCGTTCCTCTGGGTAGCAAAGAGACTAAAACTCTAGCTGGAATAACAAAACCCCATGTGCTTTCCTCTGTCTTAGTTGCTTCCCTATTCCTCAGCATGCTCTCTATTACTCAGCTCTCTCCCCCCTTACAAACCATCATAGAGGTTTCACATCTCTCTCTCTTTCCCCCATGCTTCATAACCAGTTTCCTTCAACAATAATTGAAAAAGTCTCCTGTCCATTTTTCTTCTGCTGTTGAGTGACTCCTTCAGTCCCCCTTTGCCAGATCATTCTTGGGGAGTGAAAGACAGCTGGTCAGCTAATTCCCTGGGACCTTCAGCTTGGAAAGCTGCACTGGCAGGGGAGTAGCTGGCCTTTTGAGCCATCTGAATAACTGTCAGAACTGGACTGCCTGCCCTCTTGAGCCTCATGCTGGGAATATGCATTTCTAATGATGTTTCTCTCTCTTCTCACTAAAGTGAGGTTTATGCCAACACAGAGGCAAAAGATTTCAAACAAAAAGGCATCAGAGAGGAATGTTTGTGTCTCCTAATAAGATTTCTGCATGGAGAACAGGTATCCAAGATTTAGCTTTCATTAAAGTCCTGAAAGAGAAGTCCAAACCATGGAAGATCAGAAAACATTTTGCTCAAAACTCCTCACAATCCGTGGAAATCCTGCTTGCTGGGCTGGAGGATGTGACTCAGGTAAGGCTGTTGATGGATGGAAGGGGATAGTAGTTTCTTAGTTCAGTTTGAACCATCCTTAGGTACTGTCTCCCTGCCTTGAAGTGTTTATTTTGTCACCATACACATTTTATTCTGCACAAAGGGATGTTTAGTGGCAAGACATGGTGTAACCCATCTGCCAGTCTATGCATCCTCATAGTCACTGTACCTAAAGCCCTCCAAGCCTCAGATTAAACATGTTTCAGAGCTGGTAGGATTGCAGTGCTTCAAGAGAAGTACCAGTGCTGTGCACAGGACCCCTGGAAAGGAGCAGAGCACCAACTGCACAGCTCCCTGCTGGCTCCAGGTTCTTTGCAGTGGCTGTAGGTGGCACTGGGTACGGGGAGCTTCTGCCTCCAAGTACTGATTCCTCTCTCCTGTGGGACCCAACTCTGAAAGTGCTCACCAGCACTTCAGCCAAAATTGTTCTCCCCACTGCCATCCTTTGTCTTCATGCAAAGTAAGCAAAAATCCAGCCCTGTTGCTTGAAGGAGACTGGAGGATACACTGAGGGGATGAAGTAAAAGAATATGGGAATATGGTAGCAGACAGTTTCTAGGCTGCCATGCTCCAGATTGCTGTTTGGGAGTGCTGGAGCTGAATGCAGAGCATACCAGCAGCCATATAAGCCCCACTGAATTCTTAAAAAAAAAAAAAAAAAAGCCTAAAATTGGC